ATGTAAGTCAAGACCAGCCTGGATCTACTTTAGCCATGCATTAATTGCACACCTTAGAATTTTTGTAAACCAATCAGATTCAAGCATTATACTTTCTCTTACCCCAGCTATAAGTAAACCATTCGTAAGTAAACACTGCTGTATATTTGAACATCTCAACCAACCCAACACAACCACCAATAGTGTGTGTCTAGGGGCGGGGCTAACTGATTTTTAAAATCACACAAGCACACAAACAAACGTGGTAATTTCAACACAGGTGTGCTGCAGATTTTTCAGTCCTGTCCGACCTGCTTACTGAAAGCCTGTTGTAAAAGTGAACATGCGTGTCTCTCTGTTTCTGACGAACTAGATCACTCGGCCATGCTCTCGTTCAGTAACACTCCCGAACGAGACAGGATGTTAATGCATGTTCAAACAAATTGTCCAGCCGTATAGGATAAACTGAACAAAGACATATAAGGAGTGCATGCAGTACTCGTACAAACCCGCATAAGGTTTTAAAAGAAAATATGTTGTCCCCTCAGTTAAGTGAGCAAACCTGAAATTAACTTATATGGGTTATTCTGGCAATTACACATTTTCTCTAGATTATCATACTTTTGAAAGTCAGTGGGGTTTAACTTTATACCAATATTGGACCCCATTGATGTTCAAAATCTCTGTTTTGTGTTCCTCAAAAGTCATACAGGATGGAAAGACATGAGGTTTAGTAAATGACAACAGATTTCTACATTTTAAGGTCAGCCATCTTTTCAACACTTTCAATTAATAAACTCTAACAGTTCAAAACATCTGTCATATAGCCTACATTATTAAGACTTTGAGAGCTTTAGTTAAAGATTAACTAATTCTGCATTATCAAGTGCTTAATAAAAGAATAAATGGCTAAATCAGAATTAAACAAATAATGTGGTTACTAAGAAAACTAACCTTTGGCATTCACCAAAGGTAATGACAGCCTATGGGGCTTGCACAAGCAAGTTGGGGAAAATGTTCCGACAGCGGAATTCAAAAAACACACAAAAACACTGTCATCCACCTCCTCCTTTCTGTTTCTCACACATGCATGCGAAGGAACCACTACAGGTAAATTACTGGTTAGTACATTCACACAGAACACTGCAGACAAACAGGTTTGTAACTTAATGGTAGAAAATCTCCTCCCGTAAAAGCTTGACTCGGACGGCAGAGAGACTGATACCACAGGGACACAATGAGAGCGTGTCAGGGGAGGGGAGCTATTGTAAAAAGCTGAGGACAAGAGGGGGGCAAGAAGATAAAAACCTGAAAGACTTCATTCTGAAGCCTCAGGCTGTTTACTGAATCAATAGCGGGGATGTTAAAATATGGTGACCACACAAACACACGCAGACCATGCACATGAACCAAAACCCATACTGTGTATGTCCTAATTTTACTGCGTTAGTTACGTTCCAACATATTTTGTTGATCCTGGAACAACATTCCTGTCTGAAAATGTAGTCCTAACCCTATCCCAAAATCAAAGGGAAATTAAGGGTGAATAACACTGATAGAAGCACCTAACCCTGGTTGTAAGCCAAAACTTGATATAAACTGTAAACTTGTCCCTCAAATCTGATTGGTTGACTGGCAACAAAGATGTTGATCCAGGAGCATGTTGAAACACTTGGTGAAATCAGGTTTTACCTGTACGATCAGGCCTGGGACAGACCCCCGTGGGCAAACTACAGCATACAGGACCTAAGTGAGACCCTCTCGTCATTCCTGGTTGTCACCTTCCTGACAATACCATGGAATGGGAATTGTGATTTAATTATATTGGATCAGTGAATGCCTCTAAACTCATTCATGGACATGCAGATACACTTCAAGTGCAGGCAACACCCTTGACAAAAAAATTTTTATCATAGTAAACATGGTAGATTACACCAAATACCATCACAAATCACTACTGCATTAAAATAAAATGCTGGTGTATAATTTTTTTAAAAATAATTTTCACTTAGAAAGTGCTAGTAAATTTCACAAATCATTACAAAGAAATAGCATTGAATTCAACTCTTTTTTTACACTTTGGGGATGATATTTTTATGGCAAAGGCAACAGTTTTTGTAGTAACATATCTATGGTATTTTGGCATAAACTACTGTCTCCATGGTAATTCTTTTCACTAGTCAGAATGAAAAAGAAGTCTATCCATGCAATATACTGTACAAACATACACTGTCACACTGGATTATATATCTCTGGAGATGATAAATTGCACTTCATGACCAGTGAGAAACCAGTCATGCATACTTAGGTTACACCACACATTCAATGTATCAGTCAGGGAGAGCTGGAGAAACACCAAAAGCCTCCACTGTACGCCAGGCGTGGCACTCGAAATTCAGAACGGCCCGTCGTGACAGTGACTAAACACACATTTGTTTCCTTTTTTGACATTTACATTTATTGAATGGGTGCACACATTCAAGTCGAGCCTCCCACAGTGAAGGTATTAAGCTTTAAGGATCTTTCTGTTGACTCAAGGCCAATGAACCAGCTCAACTGGTCACATATGAAAGGGGACCTGTGCAATTCAACACAGTTCCTTCACACCTGCCCAAGAATAGTGATATCAACATCCATAAAGCACTGTCTTCAATAGAAAAAAAAGAACAGCTCAAAACACTGACACTGTTAACCCCATGGAAGTCAAATTGGATGTACGCTTTTAAAATCAACAGTCTTTTTCTTCTATTAAAATGGACCATATACACATACATAAACTGAAAAAAAGTTGCTGCTTTAAATTAAGTACAATCAACTTGGATGTTTAAGTCATTTATTAAAAAAAGTTGAAATTGCTCAACTTATTTTGATTAGTCATAACTTACTGATCATATAATTTTTTTTACAGTGTAGATGACTCGCCATTTACAGTACTACACAGATTTTTGTCCAATCATATGCTCTCAAGAATGTCCCTCGCCAAATCTGGAACTGACCATTCATGATTTCCAGTCATTTTATTTATAATTTTCAATCATTTTTTTTATACAGATGAGATCTTTACCTTTTTTTTCCTAAGAGCACAAGAAAACGTGCACATATGTGCACAAAACACTCATTTATTTCTGGAGGCCTCAAACAAAATCTTACGAAAAATGGGTGTAGAAAAAAGATCAAATTTAATTACAATAAGTTGTACAATAATTATTTTTCTTATAATTCAGTGAATGACATGAAAATGGGGCAGTTCAAACATTCTTTTTTTAAACACATATATAACAGTTACATAAAAGCAAAACATTTGAAAATAAATTATGTTCAAAGTAACATTGAAAATACAAAACATGACCGAACTAGTCATTTTAAGAGAATATAAACACCCTGTAAACAAAACCTGAGAACATGTTGATTGGAACGCACCAATGCATGTGCATATATTGTATTTTACTCACAAATATCCAGTGCGTCACCTCAAAAATAAAATAAATTTTTTTTTACCACAGGGCCCAATTTGGTAACTTCAAATAACTTTAAAGCACTGAACAAAAAAGGTTGTGCACAACAACAAGAATTGACATTATCCAATTTAATTTTAAATTCTATCTAGCCTATATGAAAACATTTCTGTTACAAAGTACACATGGATAAGACGTTTCCATCTAAACTGTCAAATGAGTCAAGAAAGTCTGTCTCCACACTGTGACGGTACAAAAAACGTTAATTCAGTGTATCTGTGGTCAGACTCATATGATTACCGGTCTCTCCATGCAAACAGCCCAAACCGCTAAAACATACGCAGGCTGCCGGAGATAAAACTGTCTACAGGTTTGCAAGGAGTTATAAAGCTCAGAATGTTATGATATTTGTGTTTTAATGCTAAAATGGAGTACAAATATATATAATAAATGTGTGTTAGTGTATTTTTTTTGCTGTCGACTTGCACATACATATACGTTAAGATTGTTTTGGCTGGCACTTACATACATATAGGGTTGGAAAAACAGTCTGAAAAGTACATACTGTATTTTATAAACTTATAAGCTTAGCTCATGAATGTTCATTTAGTGACATTGTACACCTAGTAGTCTTTGCTGAAGTGGCCGCTAAACATTCTGGCCAATATTTATTTCAAATATATGTTGTAACCAATGTGGCTTAATGAAATATATTTTTCGAGCTGAAAATATATTCCGTTTAAATGCAAAAATATATCACAAAATGTATTTCAAGGGTCCAAAAAATATATTTCCTATATATATATATATAGGACAATATAAATATATTTAGACTGACAATATACAAAAAAATGGCTCAAAATAAGCTAAAATTAACTAATCAAAAATATATATTTTTAGCATTTTATTTAGCCATTTTTTGTATATTTTGAAATACATTTATGTATACATTTTTGAATATATTTGTGAGCAGAGGCTTTTTTGCATGTTTCTGTGGCAATAAAGCAAGGGGATGACCTTAGACATTTCTATAAATGAATGGGACATGTATATCTATCTAGAGAGATCTGATCAAAATCAAAAAGATCACCACAAGATCATATCACTGCTTTGGTCGAGGAGCAACACAGTTAAAAACGAAACTTTAAAAGGATTAGGATCAGATATCAGCTGATAAGAAGAAAAAGATTTCACACACACTGGAACTCAATAAGCAACTTAAACGTATTAACACAAATACTTTTCAGTTTTAAACTTCAGATGTTCCTGTGTCAACGAAAGGTGATTTTTAAAACGGGCCTGTTTTAGAACATGAATCCTGATTACAGCAGGACGAATCTTTGTGGGGACGCCCAAGGACAGAGTAGCAATTTTCGCTGCAAAACTGTGGTATGTCGTTGTCCGCAGAAATGCAGATTTTTCTTCCCGCTCCTCAGTTCAAGCATGTGAGTGCTTGCCTTACTTTTAAAATAAAATGTGTATGGCTCACTAAGAGACACAAGAAAAGACGAGGGTTTAAAAAAGCGTAGCAAAAGGTGTTAGAAGCTTAAAGCATGTATCTGATCTGCCACCAATGACCTTCCAGCCACAACTCAACAGTGCCTTCGGCTTCAAGTAAAGTTGGCCCCACATATCTTCATTCCCTTGGGACTTCCGAGCATGTTGAACAGGTCTTAAAATCTCAAAGTTTCAGTGCCTTGTGGGTGTTTTGAGATCTCAAACACCTGACCGTCTCGTCACCCCTCAGTGCATTTCAGGGTGGATTTCGTTACCCAAAACAGAGCTCTTTCAAAATGACCTCTGAGACGTCAAGCCAGGACGACCGACCTGTCAGTTAAGGGTCAGATGAAGGAATGAGAGGGTGATGGAGGCTGTATCATGTTTCTTGAGGAACAAAGGAAGCTGTCCACTTCAGCCAAGAGAAGGAAGAGATGCAGATAAAGGTAAACAGTCTCGCTGTTTAACCGCCGTCCTCTATCGTGTCCTTAAGATTGGGGTACGTTTGCACAGGGTAAAAGGATATAAAAAAAAACAATGGACATTTCAAAACACGTTGAGCTCCTGAAAAGGCCAAACCTGCAGGTGTATGTCAGTTGTGAGGGCAGTTTTTCCAGTTGCCTTGAGAGCTTTTGCAGATTAAAAAAAAAAGACTGATAAATGGCTGAAGGGTTGGTCTTGAAGTCTAGGGAAGTCTGGGGAAGAGATGTACATGATTTCTGGTTATCAACGTAATGAGAGTGCAAACAAACGCTGACAGACTGAGAATACGTTCAGCACACCGATGGCAAAGCATCACCCATTCGAATGCTTAATATTCACCATTTGCAATTAAAATAACATGACGCAGAGAGTAAAACAGGCTCCCATTGCAGAAAGCTACCCACACCCAGCAAACAGACACGAAAACTAGTTTTCTTGCAACAGCCACTCCTTTGTTAGTTCTTCAGATTGAAGCATGTCCCTCCTTTCTTTTCAAGAAAAAGTCAAGCATATCTTTGCGAAAGTGTGCAGAGTGAAGCAAGACAATCAACGCATGCTGCCAAAACAGACACTGAAATGTGATAAGGAAGCCTTTTGAAAGTCAGCTCGGACATATCATGCAAGCTAGTGTCAATAGCCCGAAGTCAATGCAAAGAGCCGGCATGGAAAACAACAATAAATAATAGCCAAGTAAATAATGTTAGCCTGCTGTACGGAAAACAAAAGATGCTATGCACCACTAGAGGAAGACTTACCGGGTCACCTTACTGCCAGGTCTTGCTTTAATATGGAGATGGAATACTAAAACAAAAAGGGGAAAAATAATTAATAATTGATAGAAGGATATAATTACATCACAAGAGGAGGAAAGAATGGGGTGTAGTCAGAATCGGTAAACATGGGAACAATGACTCTCAATGACTGAAGGCTTCACTCACTACTGAGCACATAACATTTTGATATGCCAAGAAGCATAAAGATATATCACAGTCTGGCGCGCACACCCAGGTAGTGCTGTCTAGGTAGGCGGCTCACAGCCAATGTTATTCGCTTACATAGGTGGTTGCACAAGCATTAAAGATATGTTAGTTACAAACAAATTAAACATTACGTTCTTCTCTGGTGATGTAATTACACGATGAACCATATATTTCTGTTCCAGTGACAAAAAAAAAAAAAAAAAAATCTCAACAATTCACGCTATGACAAATAGGTCAAACGCTCATGGCAATTGAGAGACTTCATTGACATGCACGACAGAGCAAAATTAGCAAGCAACCGTCAGACGGTTGTGCAAGGCTGAAACTGCAGCAGAAATATTCACGAGGGTAAGAAGTGAGACGGAGGCAGACATGTGTGGACATGACTAACATTCCAACTATATTCCTGAAATCTTTCTGATTCGTTCATCGAGCTACAAGAGAGATTCGGATTAAACAATAATTATACACTGGATAAATGTAGGTAATTATGTCATTTCATCATCAATTTTATTCACCTGAACAGAAAAAAACATTAATAGAGATCGACAGAGAGTGAAAGGAAAACTAATGGTGAGAAAAGAAAGAGATGTTCTTTACAAATGTGTCTTATTGAACTGTATCTATTGTCAAAAACATGCATACCTATTAATGAAAATATCTAATAAAGACAAAACATTTCCAGGTGGTCTAAGAGGAAATGAACTAAGGTTGAACGTTATCTATGACAGACATCAGAAAACAAATGAAGCACAGTCAGGCTTCACTCCCTCCCAGGATGCATTAGTCACAGGTGGAAAATTGAAGTTACAACTTTCAGTTTTGGATCTGATCTGTTTTGCAAGACTCTTTAGACAAACTTTGAATTTCAAACATTTGAAGGTAACGTAGAATTGACAGAAAGAATTGCATGTATGGAGGATAAATGAGATCATTGATGTGACACACCTATACCTGGGAAGTTTTGCATGCAGTGTGTGTGTGTGTGTTTGTAGTTCTGTGAGTGTGTAGACAGTGTGTGCTAGCTTCTTATCAAATAAACATCTCTGTTAAACCTATCAGTTGCATTTGCATATGATATCCCTCAAAGCTTTGTTTTGCATTTCCAGTATTTCTTGTCCTTTTCATATGCTACATGTGTTATCAAAATCCATTTAGCTAGGAACATTTAGGTGGCCTTCTATGAAATTATCAGCCTTGAAGTTTTTTTATTACTTCGTTTAGCTATCAGATTTTTGTCTAAACAAGACAAACTTTCTGTGTAGTATCATCTATCTGATTAAATCAATGTCAAATGTTTTCCAAACTAAATTAAAAAAACTCTGTCCTCTAGTTTATTTATCTCTCTTCATGAGGTAGAATTCCATGTTGTTGTCTGCATTCAGTGTCATGCGTAGAAAGATTACAAGCTTGGCAAACACTCACTCCTTTGAGAATTTGGCGGTAAAATGGGAGAAGAGAAGAGGAGAGGAGAGGAGAGAAGAGAAGAGAAGAGAAGAGAAGAGAAGAGAAGAGAAGAGAAGAGAAGAGAAGAGAAGAGAAGAGAAGAGAAGAGAAGAGAAGAGAAGAGAAGAGAAGAGAAGAGAAGAGAAGAGAAGAGAAGAGAAGAGAAGAGAAGAGATAAAAACAAATTTCCTTAGAAATGGTCCATAAAGGAATAGTTAACCCAAAGATGAAGATTCTTCCATTATTTAGCCCAACATTATTCCAAACATTCTGAATATGCTGTTATTGAACACAATAGATTGTTCAAAATTATTAGAACTTTCAGATATGGAATATTTTTTGGAATGAGTGGAATGAGTAAAAAAAATTTTTTAATTTTATTTAAATTTGCTTTTAATTTTAATTATTTTAAATTTTCATGTGAAGTATTACTTTAACAACATACACTACCATTCAAAAGTTTTGGTTCAGTAAGATTTTTTGTAACTGTAAAGACATTTAAAATGTTACAAAAGACTTCCATTTAAAAAATGTTGCACAATACATATTTTACAATATTTTAAATTGTAATATTTCACAAAATGACTGTTTTTACAGTATTTTGATCAAATAAATGTAGTATTGGTGAGCATAAGAGAATTACCATTAAAACAAATCTTGTCAACCCCAAACTTTTGAATGAGTGTGTATAAACTTAAAAGGTTTAACTGACATGTGTGTGATTACATTATCAAATACAAGTGCTAAACTAAGTTTTCAGACTGAACAATATTGCCACATTTTTAGTGATGTCTCACCACCACACTAACATCACTCTATAAAAGACTGAAGTTACAAAAGAACGATTAACCAGTGGTTCCTGGATAAACAGAAAAATGAATTCATTTCGTGTTAAAGTGCCCCTTTGGCAAATCACAGTGAATGGACAGGAATCGGGAATTGACAGAGCGCATCATATCCTCTCTGACAGTCATGTCTTACAACACACCTGGGTTGTCTGAAGGTCTACTGATTGACATAGTCATGTCACGACTCATGTTACTAAAACCAGCCCCATTTCCTGTGAGGTCAAAATGTTAAGTGGTGAAGTTATTTGCATTGTGCAATCAAGAACTGTCATTACCTAATGATTAGGTTTACACATCTGAGGATACAGAAAAATGAGTTGAGAAATGTTGATTCCCATACAATAATTTTCCAAGCTATATTTATATATTATATACTAATAAAATTCGATTATTTAATTTATTTGCTATGTGGTTTCGTGCTAGAGTATGACATCGTTAGCTTAGCAACATGCTAACTCCAAACTCTGGGCCAGTTTACGTGCATTGTAAACTTGCTACTCTTTACATGTGACTTTTGTGGTCTATTTTTGGACTATCATGTTAAAGGGATAGTTCACCCAAAAATGAAAATTCTGTCATAATTTACTCAGCTTCAAGTTGTTCCAAACCTGTGTAACTTTTTTCTTCTGCTGAACACAAAAGAAGATCTTTTGAAGAATGTCGGTAACCAAACAGTTGATGGACCCCATTGACTTCCACATTTTGTGTTCAGCAGAAGAAAGAAACGCATACAGGTTTGGAACAACTTGAGGGTGAGTAAATGATGACAGAATTTTCATTTTTGGGTGAACTAACTGTTTAATTCACAAATGCTGTAGAGAAAGCTGAACTTGCATTGAACCCAAAACATTACTTTAAAAGATAGTCAGATCACATCCATATATCCAAAAGACAAAAACAAATACTTTAAACCTTTGCAGCTAACAAACACATTATCCATGCATGTTTTGGAATACTCAGTTTCCTGAATGTGACGAGAGGGGAGAGGAATGAATTTTAGACTCACTCTGTGCCAGATTTTCTCTTGCATTTTATAATGCAACCGATGATGATCACAGCCACAAGCACAGCAATTACAATTCCAGCAATGGCTCCTCCAGATAGGCCCTCGTCTACCGCACCGACCTCTGCAAAACATGATGAGGTGTTTAGCTTAACATAAATATATATATATATATATATATATATATATATATATATATATATATATATATATATATATATAGAGAGAGAGAGAGAGAGAGAGAGAGAGAGAGAGAGAGAGAGAGAGAGAGAGAGAGAGAGAGAGAGAGAGAGAGAGAGAGAGAGAGAAAGACTACAATTTAGCAGCAAATTGATTGGATACAAAATTATTGAAATTATTTGAATTTTTTAAATATGAATTTGAAATTGTACTCGATATTTACTACAAATAAAACAGTTCAACAGTTCATAGATTTGGCACTGAAATAATAATAAATTAATATAACTATATTAATAATTCTGTTAATCTGGCACATTATAAGTTATAAAATAGATAAAAATCGGCCGAATAATCAGCCTGATTGGTATATGAGTCTAATTCTAAGTTGCAAGATTGGATAAATATTACTTGTATAATATTATACAATATATATATCATGTTATATATAACAATATACAATATAATAATTATAATATAATATAAACTAATTTGAAATATGAATATTAACTTACCGTATTTAAAATAATCATCATGTCAGTGTATGAGTATATAAGTAGTCAGTATTGCATTGTAAATTACAACTCAAAATTAGCATTAATTGGCATAATGGCCTATTTGTGAGGTGAAAACGGGAATAAATACTTGAATGAAAAATGCCGAGGCTCGTTTACCTGTCACTGCGAGTTTGTGTGTGGTTTTTGTCGTTATTCCCGTGATTGGGTTGAGTGCCTCGCAGGTGTACATGCCACTGTCCGCAGCTCTGGCCTTTTCAATAACATAGATTGCCTGAGTGAAGTTCATCACTGTATCGTTGAGTTTCCATGCGTACATACTGGGAGGAACAGACTCCGCAGAGCAGGTAATATCTATAGCCTCTTCGAACTTCACCGCATTCTTTGCTTTGACCTTCACGTTCTCTGGACCGTCTGAGAGATATCAGAGAGATTGGCTCAGTTAGGCAGGTTACATTTACATTAGAGTAAAGCAAGCAAACTGTCGGTAACAATACAAGCAGAAAGGAAAACACCACCATTTGCAAACAAGATAGGCTAATGTTTAGACATGACAACAACAGGGAAGTGATACACAAGTCACCGTGTCCTAAGTAGACATGACACGTGTCTTGGAAGTGAAATATTGAACATGCTTGATTTTCAACAATGGATATAACAGGTGGATTTTTTTATCAATGAGATGAAGTAATGGAAAAAGTGATTGAATATAATATTCATTAAATCATGGCCCAGATTCAAAGACAAGGCTTAAATTAAGTAAGGATTAGGCCTTAGTTCAATTCGGACATTTAAGTAACTTTTATAAACATTACTATAAAAGTGCATCTTGAGACAAAACAATGACATATTTTAAGATGCATTTTAGTCTGGGATTGGCTAAAGTTTTGTCTGTGAAACCGGGAATATAAAACTAAATATATATTAATTACATGAATTATATAAATATATGAATATAAAATTTAAATAATTTGGTAATTTTGACCCCCTTTACGCATTCTTGGGTTTAAAAATAAAGCTTTCAAAAGGGGCTTTTCACAGCGATGCCACAGAAGACCCATTGGTGATTCCCCAAAGACTGATCAGTTCTTTTCTTAGTGTGAAGAATATTTTATAATCTAAAGAACCTTTTGGGCATTGAAAAGGTTCTTCATGAAACCATCGATACAAATAAATAACCTTTCTTTTAAAGATTTGTTCGTTAATTGCTGCACTCAATTCAATGCAACAATTTATGTAAGAATATATTTACTGACCACATAGACAGTATTTCAATGAAACTATCCTCTCTTGGACACTTACAGTTGATCACCATCTTATAGCTGGCTTCATCTTTGTTCACTTTGTTCTTCAATAGGCACTTGTACTCGCCCATGTCCTCTTTAACAACTTGAACAATCGTCAGAGTTTTCTTGTCGACTGAAAGGGTGACCCGGTCACCAGGAGTCAGAGGTTTGCTGTCCTTCAGCCATTCCACGGTTTCAGCTTTCCCAGCGGCTGCCGAGCAGGTGAGGTTGACTGTGCTGTTGCCAGCGATGAGAAGTGATGTGGAGCTGGAAATATTTGTCCCGGACAAGCCCTCTACAAGAACACAGCAAAAGAGAAGACAAATCATAAGCGATGCCATTCAGAATATGGACCCCAATGACAGACATAATGTCGATTATAAGGTGAGAACAACATTGAAAACGTTTAGTAAGATTTCTTGAAATGTTAAAATAAGCCTCTTATGCTCACCAAGACTGCATTAATTTGAATTAAAATGCAGCAAAAACATTAATATTATGAAAAATATTTGTAATATAAAACATACTGATCCTTCAGAAATCATTTTAATATGCTGATTTGGTGCTCAAGAAATGTTTCTTATTATTATCAATGCTGAAAACACAATAACAACAGTATATCATATAATTTTGTATAAACTGATACTTTTTTTCAGGATTCTTTGATGAATAGAAAGTTCCAAAAAAACATAATTTATTCTAATTATTCTTATTCCTGAATAAAAGAAGAAAAAAACCCTGATCCCACACTTTTAAAAGGTAGTGCAAATGGTATCAATCAATCTGATTTGTGATTGGTCAGACAGTAGTTTTCTGTCTAAGGGGGCGATTCTTGGCTAGAAAAAAGCTGCAAAGTGGACCAGATATTATGTCAATAGTCACAAGTCAATACTAACCGCATAAGATAATCTCTCACAGCAACTTCATTCACCACAGCACTTATCGACCATTGCTTATTCTCTTGTGCTATTCTCTAGTTTGTACAGACATCATTACTGTGGAATGCGCCAGTCTGAATCAGACTCATTGCATTCACCAAATACCTGACACTCTACAGTTTGTTTTCCTCCTCACGCCAGTGTTTTTAGTTTCGGGTAAGACGCATGTAACAGCTGCAAATGAACTCTCTCAACTCATCTCGAGTAAACTTTGAGAAACGCATTTGGAAACCGAGAGAATTCTTTGTATTAGATCATCTCATTAAAGCTGGTTGAGGTTTTTTGCATAAACCGTTCAGAATTTAAATTTTATACAAAATAAATGACAAAAATGCATTACAGTTACACCTTTAAGACGAACCTCCAAGCAGAAGTCGGTATTCTGCGACTGAAACCTTAGCCAAGTGCTGCCTACCCCAAAACGTATGTGACGTCAGACAAGTTTGTATTCTGCTTTCTTTAGCGTGCTGGTTTCACACACATGGAAACACCTCGGGGGAAGACATGTAAGCCGTGTACAATCAATCTGCCCTCAGTCAAAGAAAGCAGAACATGCCTGAAACTTCTACCCACTAAAGAGTAAAGCAGAGGAAAAGGTTCATCTTTTAAAAGCACTTGTAAGTTAGGAAGCCATTTTGAATAAAGACAGACAGACATACAGCAGTTGCTATGTGAAATTAAAGGGATCCCTTTAATAAACCTTGCAACTTTTTGAGTGTGAAAAACAAGACATTTTGTAGCGGCTGCTCTTTTCCATGCGATTGCAATTAATGGGGACAAAAACAGCTTAAATTTATATCTGTTTCTCTCTTAAAGCTATCATATGATTTCAGAAGACTTGGAATATAGCGCATGAGTCTTATGGACTACTTTCATGCCCTTTCTGAAGTTTGAAAGCCTCAGTTCCCACTCATTGTAACTTCATTGGAAAAGTGCAACCAGCAGCAATTCACCTATTTGTGTTCCACGGAAGAAATGTAGTTATCCGAGTTTGGACTAACATGAGGGCGAGTAAATGATGTCTTACAATTGTCAGTTCCGAGTAAACTAATCCTTCAACATTTAACACAGAAATCAAGACTCTTTTCAGTTTTCTTTCCATTGTCCTTCTAGGCAAAGGTATTTGTTCCTCTTCTCTGAGAGCTAAACATTTTTTTTCAATCCTTATCGCTCTTCTTGGCAATGAAGTCACCATGGCAAAGCATGTCTATCTCTGTGCTGCTCCATTGCTAATCAAAAGATTTCAACGGATCTCTTCACTTTTCAATGGTGTATTTTTACGAGTGTACGGATACGTATGTATTTGAATATATTAAAAAGTAGCACTAGAAATACAACATACACTTGATGGAACTTCGGTTTGTATTCAAAGCATCGGTGCATGTCTTTAGGCTTTTGACTTACCCAGAACAGTCACCAAAGCAACAGGTGAGACAACGTTGCGGTTGGTCTTCACGTTGTTGGCCACACAGCTATAGTTGCCACTGTGCCTTTCCTCTAAATTGCTGATGGTGATGTTGGCCTGCTGAAGCAGATCGTTCCCATTAAAAGTCCACTTGAACTGAGCGGGAGGGTCAGAATCGGCAGAGCATGTGAGTGTTAAGTTAGAGCCTTTCTTGAGGAATGGATCAGTTGGAGTCTGCGTCGTGATGATTTTCTCAGGGCCATCTAGACACACAAGGACAAAAGGAGATGATGAAAAGAAGGTTGAGTAAAGGTTTATTAAAGTGCTTGCAAGACAGCTATGCTTTTAGGATTTTTGATACACTTAAAGTCTTAAAACCTCCCATTCCATTTTTTGGGTAAATTCTAGTTTTTGACATGAAAGGCTCAACATGAAATAACCAGGAATTATGTTGTCGCTGGATGAAAAACCTCAAACGGTGCGCCATGTTAGTTGGCAATGTGCAAAAGGTGGATGTATTTTGAGCATGTGGATAAAGTTCAACTTTAGGCCAATGCATTCCATTTTATTTAGTGCAATTACTTTCATGACCAAACCATGCACTCGCAAAGGCTTTAAAAAAGGTTTGATCTGTTTGGAAGGTAAATATCTTAAAATAGTGTTTGTGTATGCATTTACAGTCTTCCTGCTGTTCACAGGCTCATTCATTCACAACTATATTTTATCTAATCTCAGCCTGCATTTTTTCCAACACCTGCACCAGAACCTGTCTTAACTAGAAAGTCTCTTCAGATCTCTGCTGTCATGTGTGCTTTCTAGTGCACACCATCTGCAGAGACAAAGACTGCAGGCAGTAAAAACGAAAGATAATGTTAACTTATCTTCAGTAGATCCAGTATGGCTGTTAATTTTTTAATTTTGCTACTTAACTGAGAGTAATTGTATGGGCAGAAATGTGAATATTTGTGTGAAAACGCAATTCCATCACACTGTCTTAATAGAACAGTTCAGCCAAAACATTTGACATTATTTAAATAAATATTTTATTGTTTTAAGAATTTTTAAACTTTCTGAATAATAACATGAAAAAAGAAAAAAGAAACTTCTGAACTTATACAATAGCAGAGTCATAGCCGGGTCTTTCCCGCATAAATGGGTTTGGAACAACATGAGGGTGAGTAAATCATGACATTTTTGGGTGAACTGTTCCTTTAAGGCAAAGTGTATTTATGTGTCAGACTATGCATGTGTGGGTGTGACCAGGTACGTACAGCTCACAGTGAGATTGAAGGGAGCGCTCTTGCCGGACTCCAGTGCATTCTCTGCTATGCAGATGATGGGTCCTTTGAGATCTGTACGGCGAACTTCGGTAATAATTAGCTCATTGCCGGTTGGGTTCAGCTTCATATGCGTGCCATCCAACACCAAAGGGACTGAACCATTGAACCACTTGTAAGTAAAGGAGCCTTTGGCAGAGCAGGTCAGAACCACGGTGCTGTTGAACTCTACAGCTTCAGGGAGACTGGACGAAATCTTGACGTCAGTTACAGGCTCTGGAGAGAAGAGAAGAGAACCATGGAGTGTGTGCATTTAGAAACATCTTTTGCTCCTGCTTAGAGTTTCCCCAAGTAATGAAACCTTAAAGAAACCTGGGGTTAAGTGTCTTGCTCAAGGCATAATAGTAACAGGTCCTGACTTGCTTCTTGGGAGAGCCAACCAACAACTTTTAGATAACCAACCCTGAGATTTGACAATATACATTTTACATCTAAATCTTGATTTCCAGTCACTGGATGAATGTCTTTAAAGTTAGTCATATTACAATCAAAATTTTAAACTAAGTCACAAAATGACTCACTATCCACAAGCGTTGATTCAATCATATCATTCATATTTCTATAAAACCCAATGCAAACTCCATATTATCCACCCTATTAATCACTGATTGTTTGTGAACTGTTTTTTTTGCGTTATTCAGTGCAATGTTGTTGGCATGAGTCTTTAAGAACTGCTAAAGTTAATTTTTAAGTAATCAGTAATGCTTTTAACATACTTGTGCAGGACTTGTCTTCAGTAAGACCTTCAACCACTAGTCTTCAATACCCCGTTTTTTTAAATGTTTCTTTAAATACCTGAAGATTGCAGGTGATATTCAATACTTACCAAGAACCTCAAGATCAACTTGTCCTGTCAGTGCCTTTGCCTTAGAAGTGACTATACCGAGAACATATTCCCCTCCATCCTCCATCACCAGCGATCCGAGCTGAACCTCGCATGTTGTCGCATTATAGCTGATTCTGCTGGCGTATTTCTCTTCGATATTTATGGTGCCCGATGATGGTAGGTGTGTGAGTATAGATTCAATGTTTTGACCATTGTTGAAATTCCATGATATGGTTAGAAAATCCATTGTTGAGGTGATTGATGTTTTGAAGGTTACATTTTTACCTGGTTCAAAGTGGTGAGGAGAAATCTAGTTTAATACTTCTGTGCTACATTTTTAGACATGCATCTAAGCATTTCATTCATGGTTTCATACCAAAATAACAAATATTTAGAGTTAAAGACACTTGATTTAATTAAAAGATGATGGAGCACCCATCTATTGAGAGTACTAAAAAATCTATCCAGACACCTTGAATACACAACACATTTACTTGTCACATGTCAACAAAATGGCTTAGTTATGCCACACTGACTTTGATTTGGCAGACATTTTTAAATATTAATAACGTTTTTTAAAGAAACAATAAAAACGGCAAACTTCTAAACTACCAAATTATACTGATAACATTTAAGTTCTCCAGACAGTTACACTACCTAGATATGTTTCATTTTAAGCCCAAAATGGTTTTAAATTCGAAAACGAAAACATATAGGCTAGACATTAATTATAGAATAGGCGTAGGCTATATAATATCGCAGTAGATCCACACACACACACACACACACACACCGACTCACCTACTACGCCATTAGTTTTGACGGTCAGAAGCAGACTGCTTTGGGAACAGCATACTACAAGAGGAACGATTTTTAAGTCAGGACACAGGTGAAATAAAGGGTTAACCTACACATTATGTAGAAGTCTTACAAATTAAGACTTAACATGAGATTTACATCCACAAATTTAGTTTTTGTAATACCAAAAATAAAAATAACACGTTTTTTTACTTACCGAGAGCTGCCAAAATGAGCAAAGGAACCCTAAAGTTATAGAAATCCATATGGAAAGATGTGAGTCCCTGGAGCGACAGAGAGGAATGTGAGACGATGTGACTTCTCTGTAAGAAAGAACTTGAGAAACTTCACGCGGACACACCCAACCAGTTTATCTGAAAACACGCCCCGTTCTCAACCTGTAGGATGTCATACCTACGACTGTCAGAAACTTACTGTACTGCAACATTACCCTTATTTCATGGACATTTCTTACTATAACAACACGCAGCATGTTGCCTATGTGCATAAAATACTTATAATGTAATAAAACAATCTAAACAAAATGTTTGTGTAAATGATTAGGCTATTTACACAAACATTTTGTTTACATTAATTGTTTTATTAAGTATTTTATGCACATAGTCAACATGCTGCGTGTTGTTTAGTAAGACTAAACTTGAAACATGAAACATGAAAACAGGTGAGAATTCTTTTTTTTTTTTTTTATCAAATGTGGGAATGAGGATGTACTTCTGGGTTGGGTTGCACCAGCCGTTCGTAACTTCTTTCTTAAATTGTAACGTAAAGTCCACACTAGAGGCTTAGTAACTACTAGCTAGTTTGTAACTAACTCTGTACTTTATTCCGTTGCACCATTTGTTCGTAAGGTAGAACTTAGCTAGTAGGTCGTAAACTCTCCGTAAAGTAATGCGTAGTCGCATAATATGACGTTTAGCCTCGATGAACCAGCAGCCTTCAAATACGTGAGCAGAAGTTGTTGAAATGCCGTGAATTTCAGTTTATCCTTCATTCTAACTTCTTTTGCCTCACGTTACTAACGGTAAAAATAAGTTTCCATTTAATACGATACTTGATCATAAATAACATAAGTGTTTTTATATATAAATAACATTCAGAAACTGTATTTGAAATGAAATTAATAAGGATCAATAAATAAATATTCATACAAAAAAACAAGAAATTACGTTTATTGATTATGACTGATATTTGACATGCACAACATGGACCGATGCACACAGCGGCGCTGTTTACCTATTTTTTACAGTCTATGTTTAGGACGGGTTCGTGTTAAAGAGCTGCTAACAAAGTAATCTTTTCACATAATGTTCTCTCTCTTAAAATGTATGCGAGTGTAAATGTCAGCATTATCATATATGTCTAAAGAATTGAAGTCTGTCAGGTAAAATAAGAGCTTATTGATGCAGTTCAGTCTGTCTGATATTTTATTCCAACCGTTACTCCTGATCGGAGCTGCCGTAAATATTTAGTTGGAACGTAGAGTTACGTTTAAACTAAGTTTAATGGTGCAACGGAAAAATATTTAGTAGTGCGTAAGTTGTAACTTAGTGCCCATTTACGTCAAAACTAGGCTAAATTGTAACTTACGCACAGCTGGTGCAACCGGCCCCTGGCTTCTACTGACGCCTAGCGTCAAAATTAGACATTTCATGCTTGCGCATGTGCATAGTAATAGGCTAGGCTACTAGCAAGCAAAAGAACAGCAGCCAATATTAGGAATAGCCTATATAGTTAGTAATTGGCAGGGATTTGACCTTAACATCATTAAGGGAGTTCAACAATGATAGTGGTTTCTGTAGCTCTCTTAGATCAGTGTATTTATATTCTCTCTTACTTTACCACTAAAGCATCATAAGAGAAAGTGCAGTTCTACTGGTCTCTTTGAACATGCTCTCTGTAGTGCTTTGGGACTTAAAGGGATAGTTCACCCAAAATTGAAAACTTTGTCATTTAGGCCTACTCACCCTCAGATTGTTCCAAACCTGTATGAATCTCTTTCTTCTGCTGAAAACTTTAGTTTAGGGTCCAATTCTCACTATTAACTTGCTTATTAGCATGCATATTACAAGGATATTGGCTGTTTATTAGTACTTATAAAACACATATTAATGCCTTATTCAGCATGACCATATTCTACATCCCTAATCCAATATCTAAACTTAACAACTATACCTTACAAGTAATAAGCAGTAGAAGATTATTGAGACAATAGTTGTAGTTAATAGTGAGAATTGGACCCTAATCTGTGTGACAGAATGAATGTCAGTAACCAAACAGTTGATGGGCCCTATCCTATGACTTCCACCTGGAAATAAAAATGGAAGTCAATGGGGCCCATCAACTGTTACCAAAATTCTTCAAAATATCTTTTTTTTTTGTGTGTGTTCAACAAAATAGGTTTGGAACAACTTGAGGGTGAGTAAATGATGACAGAACTTCCATATGGGTAAACATTTTAAACAAAAATGTACATTTCTTAGTCTTTGTGTAGGAACATTTGAGGGTTCATCTGTGAATTCTGTGTCTGCCCACCTGCTATATGCTGTGGTTCTTCTCCATCCTTCCTGCAGTCAAAGGACACGGCAGATACTTCTGCAAGAACACCTTACAGAGACAGATTCCTGTGAAATACATGACCATAAAGGTTTACATGGTGTTCATGCTTCTTACAACAATCCCCTTGAGAGCTGGATGACAGTGGAACAACACTGCTGGCAGTTGGTCTGCTCAAGAGTATGCTTCACTGAAAACAATTACTTTAAGATAACACATTTTTCTACCACTTTCTGATTTATGTGTACCCCCAGCTAATAGCTGCCCAAGGGTGTTGCATATGGGAACTGAGAGAATTGACTTGCCGTCACATGTTTTCTTATCTAGTACAGGGCACCAAATTAGACAATTTTTACCCTTCAGGGTAAAACAAATCAAGTAAATACATATTTTGAAATATGTTACTGTTGAAAGCTGTCAATAGTGGATAATTTTGTCTGGGGTAAAATTCTTGTCCAGCTGAAAATTGTCTATATTATTTATTTTAATTATTTAATTTAATTTTACTATAATTTGAAGAGCTGGTTTAAGGGATATAGTAAGGGATGATGCAATGGCATCATTTTGGGACAATTTATGGGAAATGTTTCGTCCAGGTCTCGAATCACTGTTTTGACTTCACTTTTTATGATCATTATTCAGATTTATCATGTTTTCTTTTCTTTTTTGATTAATCAGGATTCTTCAAGTCTGTACCTTCAGTTTCAGACCTATCTAAGATTTAAGTACAAAGGAATGAACAAAACAAACAGAAAATCATGACAGTACCTTCTGTTAGAACTAGAAACTTTAACTACTTAGATTTTAAGCAAATGTAAGATTTCAGCAGTCCGGTGAGAAAATATAGTTCAAATCCCATCTTAGGTCTATTGTTTATTTTTGTAAAAGAAATTGCAGCTGAAATTGGCCGCCAATAAATATTTCTGGACCAAGATTTGCTGTGGGCTCCACAAATATTGGCACCCTTGTTAAAATATGAGCAAAACTGACTGAATTTTATTTTAGTTTTTTGTTGCTATTTCTCCTCTTTGTTGTAATGTTGTCATTAATGACTCACCCTCATGTCGTTCCAAGCCCGTAAGACCTCCGATCATCTTCGGAACACAGTTTAAGATATTTTAGATTTAGCCCGAGAGTTTTCTGTCCCTCCATTGAAAATGTATACACGGTATACTGTCCTTGTCCAGAAAGGAAATAAAGACATCTTTAAAGTAGTCCATGTGACATCAATGGGTTAGTTAGAATGTTTTGAAGCATCGAAAATACATTTTGGTCAAAAATAACAAAAACTACGACTTTATTCAGCATTGTATTGTCTCCTGGTTCTGTTGTCTGTTTATTAGTACTTCTAAAGCACATATTAATGCATTATTCTGCATAACCATATTCTACATCCCTTAATCCCACCCAATACCTAAGCTTAACAACTACCTTACTAACTATTAATAAGCAGTAATTAGGAGTTTATTGAGGCAAAAGTCGTAGTTAATAGTGAGAACTGGACCCTAAGTGTGACCAAAGTTTCATTTAAAATCCCCTTGACTGAAAAGTTAGGGATCTCATTAGGGGCATGACGCATCTATGGTTAAGCATTTTTAAAAGCATGCTCACAGCATTTCTCTAAATACTGTTCTGTCCCTTCCACGAAGACTAGAAGACATTTTTAAAAATAGATTCTCATTTTGTTTTCTGTATTTTTCTTTAAGTCAGCATTGCTCATTTCACTTGAACTCACAGCCTGTACTTCTTCCCATGTCCTCTCATTTTGCTGTCCTCATCTGAACGCAGACATCCAGAACATCACGTAGGAGCGCTGCATTAGCCTGAGAACATCTCAATGAAAGCATTATCAGTGGGGTAATGCTTCTGTCTACCACTGGAAGGCAGTTTTGAACAATAATTTAACCTTTTTCTCTCAGTTGCATATAAAAGCACAAATCAGGACATCTGCTCTGTTTAGTCATCTTATCATATCCCCTTGGCTGCCCTTATGTAATTCATAAGCAAATGTCAAGTATCCTTTAAAATATGTGGAAATGCTTTAATATCATCTTTCCTGTGGACATCTGAAAATGTGTTGAACAGGTCGGTGACATCTGGCTAGTGTATATATTTGGTTAAATAACGTGTGAATTGTAGTGTGACTCACCTTGACTCACATGCAGGGCCGGTTCTAGACATTTGGAGGCCCTAGGCAATATTCATGTTGGAGGCCCCCCACCCCCAATAAAAAACTCTTGAAACAAATATGATTCCTAACCTTTTAATTTATACAACATTTAATTTTAAATGTTTTTACTTACACAGTAAATAAGTTTGGACACATTAATATTTTTTATGTTTTTGAAAGAAGTCTCTTATGCTAATCAAGCCTGGATTTATTTGATCAAAAATACAGATAAATAATAGTGAAATATTATTAAAATTAAAAATAATAGTTTTCCTATTTTACTACTTTAAAATATATTTATGTGATGCAAAGCTGAATTTAGTGTCATGTGATCCTTCAGAAAACGTTATAATATTCTGATTTATTATCAAATGTTAGAAATGGTGCTTAATATTTATTTTGTAACCTGTGATACTTTTTTTCAGGATTTTTTTTTTTATTATTATTAAAAAGTTGTTTAAAAAAGTCTTCACTATCCCTTTTTATATATTTAACACATCCTTGCTGAATATTCCTGTTTTTCTTTTTCTTTTTTGTATTTTTGATCAAATAAATGCAGGCTTGTAGAGCATAATAAAAAAACATTAAAAATAGTAATTGGTCCAGACTTTTTACCAGTAGGCTACATATTAATCAAATTTCATCTTTTCATCTTTTTTGTTTAATGAAGATGTTATTGTTATTGTTATTTTGCTGTTTTATTCAATTTATTCACAGTTCCAGAATACCACTTCAGTGATGCTTTTATCATTTTTTTCATAGCTGGTATGGGCAGGATTTTCCCCTCCCATTTAATAAATATTCGACTGCAGAATGCAGATATTGTCATATTATTAATATAAGTAGGCCTAATATGATATTATGCATTGCATTGCTAGCTTAAATATGCTATACACAAATGAAGTGGAAGAGAAAGACACGATCGCTACTGATTTAGAAAAAAAATTCTAAACTGATATTATTGGCGTAAGTAGGCTGATGTCAGACAGGGTATAATCATCAGCAGAATTTAGAAGATAGACCCGAGATCCTTTATTTGAAACATTTAAAAATGTTGTAGTGTGTTGGCTTTTTAACTTTGAATTCAAACGTCTTGTCTTTTACTTTTGTAGCGTTTTTAGTCAGCTCCCGACGCGATGTTATTCATTGTACGCGCAAATTCAAAGCGTCGCGTCTGGGCACGTTAATGACGCTCGCGCTCTTTTAAACTCGTAATAAAGCGGTGAATGTTTTTTCCAGAAATGACGCTGATCTACAGTACAAGTTTATATTTAGAATACATTGCAATCACTCCAAAATAGATGACGACAACGCACACACCTGCATTAGAGCTGTGCTTCTTTGCGTGCCTATTTAGGCTTTTGCTTCGCAGCACCTGATGGGCTGGCGTTAATGTGACGTAATGTAACAGTCTATGGTTAAGATAAACATCGTCACTATTTTTAGTTAATTAATAAATATTGAAATAAATTGTAGATAGGACATTTGTAAAAAAAAAAAAAAAAAAAAAATGTATCCCTCTGTCTGGGCCCCATCCAGCCAGTCGGGCCCTAGGCACGTGCCTAGTTTGCCTTTGCGTTAATCCGGCTCTGCTCACATGTGCTTGTTCTTCTAAGAATGCATAAACATTTAATTGTTAACATAATGGATACCTTCGATTACAGAGATGCAACAACAATTGTGCCCTAACCAGGTGTGACGCAAGTAATTTGTGAATCACAATGAAAGTGAAAATGCAGCCCTGCATGACACAAACATGGGCAATCAGAAAATGTCTGATGTTTAAGCTGCTTTCACGGCATGTAAAAAATAAATAAATAAAAAACTCACTAGCGACTACCTGCAGGTGCACGAGCCTCGAGCTGTCACAAAAGTAGAAATACAAATCAAATTAAGTCTTTTAAGAGCCCTCCAAAAAAATAAATAATAATACAGCAGCTACCTTCTTTATTAAACGCAGCCATAGAAACCAAGTGGCCGATATACAATGTACTCTTGTTTATCGCTCTGATTGAATAAGTTCAAGCATTAATAGCAGAATTAATTAACTTATCGTGTCACACCCAGTTAGGAGTCAGTGTGAGGATTGAGTGTCCCCCTGTAGTCAATAATTGTATCCCTTAAAACTCATCTTTGATCACCAAAATGACATATTTAAAAGTTTTTTCCTTGAAAAAATATTTCTTTATGCCTTAAAATAGCTTGAATGTATGGAAGCTTGTTTCCGCCACTGAATAAAAATAAATAAATAAATAATTGTGACTTTTTATCTCACAATTGCGAGATATGAAGTCAGAATTGTGAGAAATAAAGATGCAATTGCGAGATATAAAGTCGCAATTCTGAGAAAAAAAGTCGCAATTGCGAGATACAAAGTTGCAATTCTGAGAAATAAAGTGGCAATTGTGAGATATAAAGTCGCAATTATGAGAAATAAAGTCGCAATTGTGAGATATAAAGTCGCAATTATGAGAAATAAAGTCGCAATTGCGAGATACAAAGTTGCAATTCTGATAAATAAAGTGGCAATTGTGAGATATAAAGTCGCAATTCTGAGAAATAAAGTGGCAATTGTGAGATATAAAGTCGCAATTCTGAGAAATAAAGTGGCAATTGTGAGAAAAAAAAGACAGAATTGTGACTTTTTATCTCACAATTGCGAGTTTACATCTCGCAATTTTGACTTTATAACACATAATTGCGAGTTTATATCTCGAAATTCTGACATATTTTCTCAGAATTCTCTCGAGTTATCAGGCCAATTCTAAGGGGGAAAAAAGACTAACTAATTTCGACTTTATATCAATCAATTCTGACTTTATATCTCGCAATTCTGACTTTATAACACGCAATTGCGATTTTATATCTCGCAATTCTGAGAAATAAAGTCAGAATTGAGAGATCTGTAAACTCGCAATTGTGAGAAAAAAATCGTGAGATTAAAAAGTCGCAATTACCTTTATTTTTTATTCTGTGGCGGAAACAAGCTTCCATATGAATGTAACTCTACACCCTTGCCTCATTAAATATACGTGGTTCTGCAAATGAGCCCCGCCTCCACTCACTCACACCAGCTCAGAGATCCACTCATTGACGTGATTGGTTACAAGGTAGTTTGTGACATCAGAAACAACAGCGATTTCAAACCGCGTTTTTGAGACTGTCTTTGGTTCACTGCAGTTTTAAAGAGAAATAATCAGCAAGGTGTTGACTTATGAATTTGCACATAGTTTGTCTCAAAGCATATTAAAAACACCACATAGATATATAAACAACATTAAAAGCTTGATTTTAACCACAAGGGGACTTTAAAGTATTCCAAACAGATTATGCATGATAAATAATATAGTGTGAAAGATTTTTTTCTAAATGATCAAATTACTAGAAACATCCATCAAGGGCAATAGTCACAGTTTGAATCACTCTGTTTTATTCCAAACATGTGTCTATATATTTAACGAAAGAGGGTAACACAGCCCTCCTACATAACCCCACAGTTTTATTGGAATATTAATAACAATATAATCTGAATCATTTGCCTCATTTTCTTAATTGTGGATGTGATTCTTCAAGCACTGGTATAGAAATCTTTGAAAATGAATGAGAAATAAAAAAGAATCAGCTTTGAATTAAAAAATGACGATTACATTTCCATCTCTCTTTGACGCGCGCGCGCGCGCGCACACACACACACACGCGCGCACTCACTCACACGAATGCTAGAACGCTGCAGATTCTAAACAGGGCTGCTATGTTTACACTTTGGATATAAATGGATATTGGCATCTCACAAGCACCCAGACAGCAACTTCTAGTGCACTCCAACAAACCATTCATGACAGAGGCTCATTTAGTTCTATAATGAAAAACATCATTAATTGTCCTCTCACATAATCAGATAAATGCCCCTTCAGGTTCACAAAGTGGGTTTTGTCTCGTCTTGTTGTTGTTGTCCTTGTTCCGGGGATGAGAAGTATTTCTCTGTAGGCCTACTTACGAGTTGCAAATATTGATGGACAGCTTGTTAAAATCTACATGAAATCAAAACTGACCCTATTTAGTTTCCTAACACACATTCTTGGTCTTATTGTGAACGATTCACCAGTGCATGTTACTCCAAAGAAAAAAAAAAATGCTTGAATATTATAAGGTTTCATAAAAATGTAACTTTCTCACTTCTAAAAAGACTTTCCTGTTTGGCTGACAGCATCTGTGCATGCTATTAGTTAATGTTAACTAATAGCCAAATTGGCATTATTGTAGACTACTTTATTAGGTACAATAATGCAGCCTTTCTAAAATCTTGCCAATAGTTAACAGTAAATTAATCCCGGTTTATGTTAATACAATAAAAGTTATGGCAAACATATTACATAACAATAGATTTGAAAAGGCAATGTTACCACCGGGATTTGCTGAGATGGTCTCAAGGATGAACTCGACCTTCACATTCCACTGACATTCAGGTCTGGAACGCTCACTTTGCGGGATCCGATCAATTCCTGATGAATAAAATCAAGTCCCACTACATTTTCATTCTTGAACATCCTGTTTTATCTGGAAATGTATTACATTTTGGAAGTAAACTGTTTTTTTAAATTCCGTTTCATGTTGATTTTAACCTTTAATAGCTGGTGTTTTAATTAAATAAAGCAGAAGATGAGAGATTGAAACCAGGTGAGTAATCTTAGAGGTTGAAGAACCATAAAACTTCCCCTCAAAACTTACAAAAATCTATATACTTTGTCCTCAGAGTAATTAACAAGAGGGGAAAAACAGGTATTTAAAAAAAAAAGGGATTAAAAGAATGAAACCAAAGAAAAAGCTAGAAAGGAAAACAACCAAGTGACATTCAGGAATAAAAATTAATTGTAACCCTTCCCCCTTGTTTAAAGAAAGAAAGAAAAAGAAAAGAATTTGCACCAAAGTCCTTTCAGTTCAACGTGCACACATCCATCGTCCTCTCACAGGAGTGTATACAGTCCCCCAACACAAATCATGGAGAAGATTCGTACTTCAACGCAAAACTGATAGTCGTCCTCATAGTTTCCTTCCGTGTTTCCCTTTATGACATGTTGCATAGCATACTTCCCCGGGATATGCATTATGTAGTCTCAACAGCGTGCCAAACCTCCCAGGCTCTCCGAGTGCCACTGAATGACGTGGTGTTAAACCAAACACTTGGACAGGAAGCGGTTGGCTGAATCATCTATCTCTCACTCAGTGTCCATTAATGTAATTTCGCATCCAAAAATTGCCTTTATTTGCAGTATCCCAGAGGTCACTTTGACTGGAGGTGTGGACAGAGTCATTGCATCTGTCCTCCAGCACTCATTTACATTAATTTATTGTCCAGATGAAAGGCGGCCTCAGTCCTGCTTGCAGAGGAGATCAGTGGAGGGGGTTTTAGTGGGCGGGATTGGTCTCGGAGGGGGTGTGGGTTTGGCCCTGCGTGGGCTGCCTGACCCCCCACCCTCACTGTCGGTGTTTGTATTGGAGGTGGAGGAGGGCGGTGGCGGTGGCAAACGCGGGAGAGATGATGTGGCGGAGGCCAGTGGCGAGATGCGCGAACAAGTGGACGTGGAGCGAAGGCTCTGGATCCGCCGGCACTCCTGGCACACCCGTACGTGTGTGCAGCCGCGGGGCGCCGCTGTGGGGAGCAGAGCCGGTGTGCTGCTCGGGACACTGGCACTGAGAGGGTCCTCCAGCAGTCGCTGAGGGCCCGGGCCCATTTCCGCAGCGCCGCCACCGGGTCCTGGTCCTGCTGCAGCACCGGTTAACGGCCCCGTCCCACTGTAGAGCTTGCCGTTGCTAAGACGCATCTCCCGCACAAGGCGTACGGGCCGGGGAACTCCTAAAGGGAGACGAGCTGGGTGCCGAAGAACGCCCTGGGACGAGAGGGGTCGGCGCCGCCGCGAACGAGAGTTCTTTTTACAGGAGATAACGTTCCTGAATTCAGTCATCATTTCCTGACATACTGACACCTTAGTGAGGAGGAAGAGTGAAAAGAGAGTCAGGAAGGAAATATATAAAAATGTAAAAAGACTAAATGAAATGACGGGACAGGAGTAAAATGAAAAAAAGAACAATTGTCTCATTTACCTAAAGTGGGCATCACTATTACTGCATATCGTACTGAGAGTTAGGGCAGTGGTTCTCAACCTCAAACCAATTCCTCCCAATTGTCCACAACATTATTTGAAGGCCCCATTTTTTTCTAATGCCGTTTTTTCTTATTTTAATAATTTAAAGTTATCTTGAGGCCCCTTTGGAAATTTGCTGAGGCCTCATAGTGGGCCCCGGGCCCCTGGTTGAGAACCACGGAGTTAGGGGGTTCTCTAACAGGTGGACTAATAAATAAGTGTAAACAAATTTAAATATATGCATTCGGAAGATGATTTTATTGAAAGCGACGAAAATGCATTTTAGATATATATATGATGTCAGTAAATGTGCTCATAGGGAAACATAACCAATGACCTTGGCGTTACTAGTGACATGCTTTGCCACTTGACCTACAGAAATATCCTCCATTGAATAATGTATGCAAAGTAAAGTTTTCAGAACAAGAACAACCAAGTTTTTACTTTCCCATTTGTCTAAAATAAAATGAATATAATATGTTTTCAAATATTGTGAAACTCAAAGGCTGTGATTCACTATTATGCTGGTAAGTGTAGCATGGGCAAGCATTTTCTTCTAAAAAAACAACCTTCAAAAAATATAAAATTTTCCATTAAATTAAATGAACATGCTAAAATGGTCTACAGTAGCATTAATTCATTATCAAGAAACCTGTCCCTAAATTTACATACATGAATCTGGCAGATGCTTTGATCCAAAGCAAATTGCACACACTGCATCCAAGGTACATATTTTTTAAGATGCATTTCCTGGGAATCGAACCAATGACCTTGTTTTTGCTAGCACTATGCTCACCGTTTGAGCAACGCTAAATAGAAAGCTATAAACAGTTACATTACGAACACAGACGGCGTGACTGGTTGGCGTTGTGACCTACTCGTGCATGTCTGTGGTTTCGGGCAGGGCAGTACCCAGTACGGGAGTGAGGGCGTACCTCATCTGTCTCGGCTGACCGGCGCGTGGACCACACAAACTCCATAATGGCTACAAAAACAGCTATTATGAGCCCACATATCAGCACCACGAATATCCCGCCGATATTCTCCATACCTAGACCTGCAGGAAAAACATGGCAATGTGAGCAACACACAGAATTGTCCTTCTACAAACACACTGTGGATCTGATTAGAGATCTGCATTCCCGTAGGATTCCAGAGGGATCCTATTAAACTACATTTCTGAGATGTAGGTGGGTGTGGGCGGTATTCCTAAGAGTTATCAGCAAAAAAAAAATGAAGACTGGGACTGAAAGGATTTGTTTTAATGAATTGGTAAAAAACAAAACAATGCAGTGGTCCTTTTGCATTACTCAAGTTTCATTTGAGCAACGGAAGTGACATCTGTATTCTGTGGTTTGAGATTTATGTTTTTTTTATGATATTAGGAAGAATAAACTGCATTATGACACCTAGAGAAAAAAAATAAAAATCTGGGAACAAACAAACAAACAGGAGAAATATCTTCTTAATTATATAATAATAGAAATAAATGTCATTGTTTAATTTTTGTATGATAATCAATGTTTGTTCTGTGTTGGGTGACAATTACAATTTTAATCTTGAAGCAAAAACAGTTTAGAACAATCAGGAACAGACCAGGAAGTACCAGATCACAAAAACACTCATATTATTTTGAAGCTCATATTATTTGACATTTTCTTGTAGACCTGTAAATAACCTTGAGAGACTGTAAATGTCACTATCTGGTAAAAAATACAAGCTTTTGCGAACCACACTAGAGAAATTACACTCATAGGCACACATGTGTGTACATGCCTTTCGCAACAAATAGCTACCATATTCCCTCCATTCCCCCAGGGCCAGTGTGAGTCTACAACACACACAATGCAAATATCACCAGACCACATAAATAAACAGTCACAGAGTTGGCAGAACTGTGAAGCATCTGTCATTTGAAACCGACGGATAAAGTACATCCTATATATGCAATATTACAACAATATAAAGAACAACAGGAAATCAAATATACACACTGCCAATGTTGGTGTGATTTGAGTAAAAGTATATTTTTTTTAGATTTAACACAAACAGGTGTTTGTTGAAGAGCAAAATATATACTTGGGTAGGCAAAGTACATTTTTCACCCTTTTATGACCAATTCATTTCCATGATTTTATGTTTATAAAACTCATTTTTACACTTATTTGACACCACACTCACAAAAAGTAATTTATAGACAAATGAATACTTTATAAATTAGAAAAATTATATATTGACTTTATATATAGAAATTTGGCTATCTATGCATTCATATATATCCATCCCTGATCCAAAAATACATATATTGGTATTCTTAGACATAACATATGATATAATTGAATCTCTTTTTGTAGGTTAAAAGGATAAAACACAAAAAGGATACATTTTTGTCCCTGTGAGAATAGCTCAATAAATACACACGTACTTGAGATTATAAACATCCAGGGTTGTACCCGACCCTATATATTAAAGTGCCAGTACTGTCGGCATCAAGACGTACAGTAACAGAACAGTACATTATGGTGAAGTGCTAATGAGTATAATAACAGTGCTTCAACTCACCTTTGGCTCGATGGTCTTCTTCTTTAAGACACTTTCCCCCCTCCCACCAACGACGCTTTAGGATTTCTAATCTGTTGTTTTCTTGGAGCTGCAGCACGCCTAACGTGATCTCATCTCTGAATGGTGAACCTGCAAGAGAGAGAGAGAGAGAGAGAGAGAGAGAGAGAGAGAGAGGAGAGAGAGGAGAGAGAGGAGAGAGAGGAGAGAGAGAGAGAGAGAGAGAGAGAGAGAGAGAGAGAGAGAGAGAGAGAGAGAGAGAGAGTGAAATTAGCTAGTTGGCCAACTGAACTCCAAGGGATACCAGCTGACAAGTGTCCAAAACCATCTACTGTAAAACCTTGGCAATGCTGGGAAACTAGATAACTACTGTACCTTAAGATAAGAGTTTCAGAACAGTGAACACAGGCTAAGGCTAGCAATGCTACAGGCATGTTAAGACCAGCAATGCTACACAGTAAACAATTTTTGGCCTTTTAGACAGTTCTACTGACAGGGACAGTGATAGGAAATGACCCAAACAAGAGTTGCCCTCATTAGCACTATGGTTCAACGTGCCAAAACACATAAGCTAACTACTAAGGCGTCACTCTGAATGTCTTAAGTCAACTGATGTTGTGCAAATGAGTTACATTAGCTAGTGTGTCAGAATGAAAATGAATGTTATGATAGGTTAATTTCAAATTATTTGACTTGTTAGAATAACATCATCCTTCATTAGACATTACTGTATCACAGCTAATCATGTCCCGCTAATAACAATGTGACGTGAAAGGATGTTCATCAAATTAATAGATGTTAATTTAAATGAGACACTGCAGATCTGCACTGGAATGGATCAGCTGCCACCGAATGTAATTTTATTATTCATTCAAAGGCTGTGAAAGCGAAGTATCATACAGGAGGATGTTTTTGCACCTCAGTATAAGCACACATATTTTGTATGTATATTTTGTGTCAATGTCACTTATATCAAGCCCTGGATTTAAAGTACATGTATTTTCTGTCATGTAGACTAAGAAATATGCAACCTTTTAAAAACCTTGATTTCTAACCAACCTAGAAAAAAACGTGCCTGTGGCCATATTTCTACAAATTAATAGTATTTAGCTTCTTGCACGTTTCACAATACTTTTTCAAAGTGAAATGTCAAGTGAGAGGGGCTAAAAGCGCATTGTTTTATCAGAAACAGATAAACGTGTTTCTAGCAACGTTTTATTACGTGGGTTGTTATACGTATTGCAGCAAACAGCCTATGAGTGGCGCTTATAAGTTAATGCTCTATCGCATTTTAAAATGAATGTACCAACCCTTCCCTAAACCTAACCGATAGCAAAAAGAATATAGCATTTGCTGAAGCAATCACAATTAATTGTATGTATAGGTACGTTTTTGGAGTTTTACAAGAATGTAGGTAGAGGCATGTTTTTCCAACGACGAGCCTATTATTTATCTTATAAAAATTGTTTGAAAATGGCCTTCCTATATTTATTTTCAAGAGAACAATTCTGGTATTTCAAACAGCAGATATTTGAAAGCTCACCAACTACATATTGCATTGCTTGGATTTTAATGACATTCTAAGCTCGTTATCTCTGGTCATGAAAAATTATTTTTCACCTTCCGACACTGAAATATTCGGAGAAGTTTAAATATTTGTGGTTTTATTAGCAAAATGACCTGATTGAACATCACTGTTGAACCTGAATATTTACCACAAACATAAATCCATTAAACATGAAAAGATATTCACAAACATTTTACTAATGTAACGTGATGTATTTTTGACTGAAATAGAATATTTATAGAATTACAAATTCTGATGAATCATGCACACAAGAAAAGGATTGTGTGTGAACTTTACAATGAGGTTTTATTTGTTAACAATGCATTATTTATCTTGAACTAAGAATGAACTAACATTATTTATATTTTTTAACTTTATTTAATATGAACTAATATGAATTAAAGGTGCAGGATTTCTGAGAAAGCAGGTGCAGGATTTCTGAGAAAGCTGTTGAAAGTGGATCGGACCGAGCACCAAAACACACTTGTAGCCAATCAGCAGTAAGGGGCGTGTCCACTCATGATAGGGGAACGTGCCTGTGTTGCATAGCGTGTTCTTAAATTCAGGGGCGGGGCTATAAAGATAGGGATGTGATCCTTTTTGGTAGGCTCGTGTTTGTTTGGGTGATTTCAAATATCAATAGCGTTTCTCAGAAATCGCTTACTGCACCTTTAAGTGAACAATATATTCGAAAATAATTGTATGCTAGATCAATAAATGCCTATTGAAGTTACAGAAGGAAGAAAAGTAATTAACTACTAGTTGCTCAAAACAAAGGTCATTCCATGTTTTACAGTCTAAGGGCCGGGACACACCAAGCCGATGGGTGGCTGTCGGCCAACGTGGGGCAGTCGGTGAGCATTGGTGGGGCTAGTTTTTGCAGTGTGTACAGTTATATACAAATTAGGCGCTTAAAAATGTACCTACATCTTTATCTTTTTTGGAGCATTTCAAAACACGAATAACAACAACATGGCCGTATTTAGCTTAATCAATATAAATGATAGATAAACTCATCAGCATGATTCATATTCAAAATGCTTTGTTTATTCACATTGCTAGTTCCCTTTTTTGAACGACGGATATAAACTATTGTCATCTGCTGTTGTGGACAGTTATCTCTCATGCATGCACAGAACATACATGCTTAGTTTTTGTGGTGTTCAAGTGCAACTTCTTTGTCCAGACGAAGTCGATGTGAGCCTACTAGTTCCACTAGTTCTTTGATGTTGGTTTGGTGAGTACCGGCCTTAACCCAGTCTAAGGACGCTGTGATGACATCATCTGCACTCCAGGTAGCTATGGAAGCAGATGGAGGGTGTCAGGGGCGTCACTAGGATTTTCATTTTAGGGGGGCTAAGCCCCCAATATGATTTTTTTTTTTTTAAATAAAAAAATGTAACACTTTAGTTTAGGTTCTAAAGATCACTATTAACCATTTTCATTACGATGCAAAGGCACGGTTTCATAATAACTGTGGTCCCTAATGTGAGGTAGGGCAAATAGGGGGGTTCGGGCTCTCCCCGAGAAAATTTTGATTTCTCTGATCTACATATGTGCATTTTAAGATGTTCTGAAGGCCAAAAAACTTGGATAGTGGGCAGCTGATTATTTTTCTCTCCTCATCAGCATCACACTCTTTTTCTCTTTGTTTTGATCTTGCCCTGTCTCTTCCCCTCCTAAAGCTGAGCTTTGACTGATAGGCTTTTCATTTTTGTCTGTCAGTGAAGAAAGTAAACATAGGGTCAACTGATAGGTTGATTTTGCCTATGAATCATTTTCTCAGACGCGTTTATTTACTGAAAGCTACTAAAGGTAATTAAGTTTATTAAATGCATTCACAATATGTAGGCTACACATTTATTATTGATCTTATGCCTAATACAGGGCCGTAGACAGGGCTTTAGTCACAGAGGTCCTAAATTTGAGGTTGGTAGGGGGTTCAAATTTTTTATTTCTCTGATATGTGCATTTCAAGACGTTTGAAGACCAAAAAAGGATAAGAAATAGCTTTAAAACCATGTCAGTGGGCAGATTATTTGTCAATACTCTCTTCTCATCTCCATCACTCTTTCTTTTTTTCTCAGTCTCTTCGTCCCTTTCTCTTCCCCTCCTAAAGCTGAGCTTTTTTAATTTACTAAAGACTATGGCAAGCCGTTTTAACTTTTATTAATTTCCAGGATATGAATTGTTGATATCAACAATTACATTTTCACTAGTTCAAATTATAATTATTGATATCAGGAATAATATTTCTACTAGTAACAATGGCAATTTTTGATATCAGGAATTACATTTTCACTAGTAACAATGGTAATTCTTGATATCAACATTTACATTTTCACTAGTTAAAATGATAATTCTTGATATCAACAATTGAATTGCAACTAGTAAAAACTATAATTCTTGATATCTGTAATTGTATTTTCACTAGTGAAATGTCACCATAGGCTGCCATTCAAAAATCAATTCTTGATATCAAGAATTGATTTCTTACTAGTTGAAATTCCAATTTCACATATCAGAAATACAATTCTTACTAGTAAAAACCTTTATTTTTGATATCAAGAATTAAATTGTCACTAGTTGAAATGTCTATTCTTGATATCAACAATTGAATTGCTACTAGTAACAATGTTCATTTTTGATATCAATAATTCAATTTTCACTAGTGACAATGTTAATTTCTGATATCATGAATGTGATTGTTACTAGTAAGAAAGCCATTTTAGATATCTGAAATAATATTGATATCAGAAATACATTTTCAGATATCAAAAATGAAATTTTTTACTAGTAGCAATTCAGTTGTTGATATCAAGAATAGACATTTAGACTAGTGATAATTTAATTATTGATATCAGGAATTCGCATTTTTACTAGTAACAATGTAATTATTGATATCAAAAATTATATTTCTACTAGTAAGAAATCAATTCTTGATATCAACAATTGATTTTGAATGGCAGTCTATGGTGACATTTCACTAGTGAAAATACAATTGTTGATATCAAGAATTACATTTTTGATATCAAGAATTCAATTGTTGATATCAAGAATTGAATTGTTGATATCAAGAATTCAATTGTTGATATCAACAATTGAATTGTTGATATCAAAAATGTAATTGTTGATATCAACAATTAATATCCTGGAAATGAATAAAAGTTAAAACGGCTTGCCATAACTTACATCTTATCTCGCACTTGACCGTACACTGAAGCGTCGAGTCGCACTGTTCAAATTCGCGCTCAGCAGCGTCTGTGAACATAAAGCCCGCCTACTTTGATTTGATTGGTCATCTCAAATATTCTGACATTGACGAGCAGTGACAGAGCAATGAGGCTCAGATGAACACACATGAACACGCACACACACACACACACCCTGTCCTCTGTTTCTGACGTGCTCTCTGTCGGCGCCGCTGTGGATTGAAGATGAAGAACGCGCTAAATCTGATTATAACCAGACTGAAGCGAACACGAATTTGTGTAGCCTACATTAATCTCACATTATTAGGGGGGCTAGGCTGAAGCCCCCCTAAAAAGGGCCTAGTGACGCCCCT